TGTCATTAAAGAAATTTTTGCCTTTGAAAATCTTAAACATAACATGCTACATGCATTTAGTCCTTAGTTTTGCTCGCTTGTATAGTAGAATGAGCATGATAAGTGGAATTAAGTAGTTTCTTGCTTATGTAGTTGCTTATCATAAGACAACATGGAGTCAACATGCAAGTTTTTGTTTTGCTCCAATTTGCAGCTGTGTAGTTCAACAGCATTTTCCTGAAAGGTTGAGATTTTTATACCATTAGAAAGCCTATCATCTTCAGAGCAATGTTTTTCTATAATGTTTTTGCTCTAAATTCTTAGTTTACAAGATATGAAATAAAATGTGGAATGATGTTATTTTGGCTTAGTGAGGTCAATTTCCCTCGGACAGGAGGGGGTTTCCCAGCATGTGGCACCCTTGGGCTGGAAAGGGTTAAGGTATGCAGGTTGTACTTGTTGCTAGAATGTGGGAATCACAATATGTTTTTGTTGGGTTATGTATCCAATGATCCGTTGTCATAGTGTGACATTTTTTTATGAGAGTTGTATTTCAATATGTGATTGTAACCTTAAACAATATCATGGCAACAAAAAAAAAGATGAGAAACATCATCTTTCGAGAAAAGAAGTTGCATGCATGAAAATGTGAATGGCATAGTTTGCACTTTCACGCAAGGGATCAACTTGTTGACACAACTCTTGAACTGTAACAACATCAGGAGTTTCATTACTACCAGGAACAGGTCCATCCCAATCAATGCCATATGCTTCAAATTCTTCCTGCCAAGTTGTAACAATACATTGTCATTGATGGTTAATCTATGAGATTATTCCTGTGTTTATGTCATACTACTAGCTAATATACTGGAAACAAAACACATCATAGTCTTCATTGATATTAAGCTGGGCTCCAATTTGATTTTTGAGCAGGCACAGTAGAAACCGAAACTAAGAAATCAGAGCAGAAAATCCAGTTTCTAGAGCTAAGTGAGCTTCATCCTGGGAATGGCTGAGAAGATTGCTAGCTATTGCATGCAACATTTGTCGCATTTGATTTCTTGTCAACCAGATTTATTTATATACAATAAACTCCCCCCGGGAAACTGTGCATGTAACTTGCCTAAATGTAATTTGCTTAAATAACTCCCAGAGCAGTATACTGCTCTGGGAGTTATTGAAAGCCACCTCAATGCCACCCTCTCTGGATCGGTTCTCTGCATAGCCTCTCGCACTCTTCTCTGAGTAACACGAATTCCCATTACATGGAGTTGGGATAAGACTCTCCGGTAACCTGCGTTTGGAGACTGCCTGTGTACATTTTGGACAGCAGTATCTAAATCGGCGTCTGTAATGGGAGTTCTCCTTTCAGTGATGGAAAGGCCATGCTCTCTTAATCGCCTTTTTACAGTGCTTACACAAATTCCAAGGACTCCGGGAATGTTAGGAATAGAGATGTTTTCGATTAAATATTCCAGTTGCTCCCTTTTGATGTCAATAGGTGGGCGGCCAACGTTTCCGGTGTAGGACGTACTCTGACATGAATTTCCTGGATGAAAGGGGGCAAGGTTTTGTTCCACACTCATTAAAATACTATTAACGGCATCAATCTCTTTCTGTACTGCATTGAAAACATGCGTCACATGTGCCAATCGCGCTAAATGGCGCGACAATTGCTGTAACCGAAACAAAGCGTAATCAGCTACATCTTCGCGGACATCTTGGTGCAGTCGTCGGGATAAATCCAAAAGAGTGCGCCTTACGCTCTGTAAAAACTGCCATTGCTCTGTTGCAAAGGCTGAATTATCCGCAAGTTGTGCCATCCACAACAAAAAAATACAAAAATACAACTATGAGCAGTTCAGGGTACGTTTTCAAGTGGTTGTTTTTAGACACGAGTGCCGCTGGTCGAGAAGCGCAGCTCTGAACAAGCGACCAGGCCATCCAGAATTCCGCCAGGAACGCCTGGCAATTCAAAACGCATTTACTAAATTCAGAATTAATGTATAGCGACGTATGCGATTGCAGAATGTGTAAAGACATTTTAAATTCTAGAAAAAAATTGTGTGCATTTATATTTTTAGTATAATTTCAGAGCTGAGCAAAGAGTTTCCAGCGATCTGATTGGTCGAGCGGTTCCTTATATGACGCTATATAAACCGCTCCACGCGATTTATATTAAATATTGAAATAAAATGTTAATAAATGTTACCAAAATGTTATGATTTTAGAAATTTCTCTGTTGTTCAG